GCATGCTAGGCAATGCGCTAGCGCCAAATTATACCCTAGCTCCTGTTTTCTATATGTATGTATGTGTATGTATGTGTATGTGTGTGTGTGTGTGTTCCAGTCCTGGGGTTTGAACTCAGGGTCTAGGTGCTGTCCCTGAGTTTTGTTTGTTTATTTGTTTGAGTCTAGCGCTCTACCACTTGAGCCACAGCTCCACTTCTGGCTTTTTTTGAGTGCTTAACTGGAGATAAGATTCTCAGAGCCTCCCTTGCCTGGTTTGTCTTTGTATCACAATCCTCAAATCTTAGCCTTCTAAGTAATAAGAATTAGAGGCATGAGCCACTGGTGCCCAGCTAGCTCCTATCTTTTCCATCTTAAATGCCTTACATGGTTATTTTCTTCCCTAATAATGTGTGTGTGTGTGTTATTAAGTTTTGAACTCAGGGCCTCATGCTTTTTAGGCAGGTGCTGTACTGCTCTAACTGCTTTTTTATTGGGTTGTTTTTATACAGAGTCTCACTTCTTGTCCTAGTATGTACCTGGACCAAGATCTTTCTATTTTTCGATTCATATGGTGGCTGGTATGACAGGTGGGTGCTACCATATCCAGCTATTGATTGAGAAAGTACTTTTCTGCCAGGCTGTCCTTAAATTTCAGTCCTCTTGATCTCAACCTCTGAAGTAGTTAGGGTTATAGGAATGAGCTTACCAGCACAGGATTCCTGAAATTTCCATAGGAATTTAAATTTATTTGTGTTCCCCACCTGAACAGCTTGGCCTGACTCCTTAATTACTCCGTAACTGCTATTATCCAAATGACCTTCCCTTATCTCTCCTCATTATTCAAGGGGATTTCTCCCCTAAGATGAATAGCTCTGGTCCCATTTCCTGCATCTCATGAGTGTGGAAGGTGATTTGAGCAGTAAAGGTACACTTTGAATGGTAGAAAAAGTGAATGAAGGCTATATTAGTTTTATTCACAAACAAGCACATAGCAGTTTTTCCATTTAAAATTGAGATCATTCGCTACACTGGCCTCTATAGACTACCCCATGACACACAAACATGCCAAGTCTGTGCTGTGCTACAGTCAACTGCTTGTGCCTGACCGTTCTTTCAGATAACCAGGTCAGCTGAATACATGGAGACAAAGGGGCATTTCATATACACTGTCTCCTATTTGGCAGTTGAAATAATACTGCAAGTGGCAGGCCTTTACAGGACAAATCTCTCTGTGCACACCAAACACACTGTGAGGGTTCCCAAGGGAAGGTGGGGGGGGGGGAAACTAAGTGGAACCAGGGGAGACTTAAGTCATGATAAAGTTTAAAGGCATTATTTTTTAAAAATTTGGACATTGGTAAATATGAAATAGTGATTGTTACCTCTTAGTTAACAAATACTCTGTATACTTTATTCATTTGATCCAATAACCCTGTAAAATCGTCAGTCATTATCCAGGCTTCCAGGTGAGGAAATTAGCAGTTACATAACCTGTCCAATGTCACCCAGCCAGGAAGAGGTCCCACTGGAATTTGAACTCAGATCTGTCTGCTTTCAGATTTCCTCCTTTTCCTAGGATAAGGCTTAGAAGTCCCTATGGCTCCCAGAATCTACAAAAGATTCCATTTGAGAAACTAATTCTGAAATTATTCAATGTGTGTACTCCTGATCTGAGCCCCATTTCTGCCCTTTCCATGTTGCTTCTGGAATGTAGCACACAGAAAAGAAGCTGAAAAGACTTCAGCTAACAAACTCTGCATTTGCTGTTAGTTGATGCAAATTTTAGAAATGAAAATCTTCCTGAAGTCAGAATGTGTAAGGAGAAACTATTATTTTCAAGGTGGCAAGAATAAATTTTTAATTAGACAGTGTCACACTAAATTTTGCCTGACTTTGCAACATCTCAGATAATTAAACAAGCCTTTGTTTACAGGGCTAATTACACACTACTAAATTATTTTTATTAAAACCCTCTGGACTATTAAGTATGAGGGATGAAACAATGTAGTGGTGTAAAATTTCTAGTCTGGAAATTAGGGTTTTAATCCTCACTCAGACACTAATAACCACCAACAATCATGCATAGTATACACAATGCAAAGCGCTTTCACATACTTTTTACATTTTGTTGAGTAACCTTGGGATAAATCACTTAACCTTGGGGTCTCATGTCACAATCTGGAAATGTGGACATTAAACTATGCCACATGAGGTCCCCTCCATTTCTGACATCCTAAGAAGGGGGAGGAACACCATGATCTTTAGAATTCTTAGAAATATATGTGTAAACAAATCATGGAAGATGCATTCTGGTCAGAAAAATTGTATTTTCTATTCAGTTTCTGAGAAATACCATTTGCCTAAATCAGTTACAGGTTTCAGATGATGTTTGCTGCTAGCTGTTTGATCATTTTCTGGACAGTACCATAGTAAGTTCCCTTCCAAATGGGAACTTTCCCCTACCATGCCTAACTCTACTCGATCACCTTCCAAATACAGCCCTCAAAATAGTCTGGCTTGAAGGAAGGCATAGGAGAAAGCCATCTTCAGAGAGCATGCCACTCTCAGGAGGCTCTGAGTAATGGCATCATCACACAGGAATACAAGAACAGCATCCTTTCTAATGCAAAGATACAGAAAGACCTTCAAGTCTTGCCGCTCCCTGCCTGTTTTACTTTTGTTGGTGGTGGTGGTTGTGGGGCTTGAACTCAGGGCCTGGGCACTGTCCCTGAACCTCTTTGTGCTCAAGGCTAGCGCTCTAACACTTGAGCCACAGCACCACTTCCTCTCTGCCTGTTTGAATGTTTCTGAAATTAGAAAGCACCTTGGATTCAGCATATATATTTTGATCTGGCAGCATCAAATTATTTCACCTAAAAGTTGCTGGTAAATTTCTGGTGTATCTTAGAATGAAGGAAATACAGTCCTTCCCAGCCTTAACATCCATCACAAAGATTTAGGTCTAATTCAGTTTAAATCATGTCCCTCTTTCTAATCTTAACAATTACCTTCAGTAACACTTGGAGAGGTGATGTATAAGAAAGGTCTTAGTCCTGTTTCCTAAGAGTAGAAGTTTAAAAGGCATTCCATCATCATCTTATAAAACATTAGTATGGATTTCAAAGGCAAATTAGTCCATATAAAAACCACTGTGATGTTCTGAAAACCTACTATCCCACAGCAAACTGGAAAGGGAACATTTTACTCACACCCTCCTGATCTATCTAGCCTTGACACATTTTCTTAAATCACAACCCTCCACCCGAGTCATAACACTGATTCCCAAAATACACTCAGCCCAGGAGGAGCAGCTCTCCAGCACAGCTGTCTTCTCCTGCCCTCCTCGGGTATTTCAGTGAGCTATGTGACACAGAGAGGACCACAAGAAGGAATGTAACTCTCAGGCCCCAGAGTTCCCACTGTACTACAGGCAGGTGCATCCCACCAAACCCCAGAGTGGCATTTGGAACAGAAGAAACTGCATTGATGGGGGCTGCAGTTTCCCCAAACTTCATCTCTATGTTTAAAACTAGGACGACAGCCGTCTTTGCTACTGTAAACTAATCTGGTGGGCATGGGGGCAGGGAGTGGCTCTAAGAAGGGTTGCCAATAGGCCAGGATTGAGCAGAGTCACGGAGAAAAAAAAAATCATTATCTCCCACTCCAAATGAGTGGTTCCTTCAGCATGATTTTTCAAAGAGGATTAGCTACTCTTTTGTAGATTTCAGTAAAAAACTGAAAGCCTCATTCAGCAGGACTGGCTTACATTATACATATTTCCTAGCAGTACACTGAAATCTGGAAGCCAAAAGAAATGGGAGAGGGAAGCAAAAGAAGTTGAAAATGGATAGTTAGGAGACCTCAAGTTGAGGCATGAGGCATGACTATTAAGAGCTTCTGACTGTGAGAGACAACTTGCAGATTCTCACTGTTGGAGACTGTCCTCTATTCCAAGATTAGGGACTGCAAGATGGGCAAGTGGGTAGATAGCAAACTTAACCCAGGGGGTTGTGCAAATATGCTAGAACCCCCTAACAAGTGACAACAAGCACCAAAATTCAGATGCAGAGGCAGGGAGACAGGCCTCAGTCCTATATCATGTAAAAACCTAAATTCTCCCTCCTCTCCACGAGGCTTCTGCTGTCAAAACTCCATCACAGGGTTAATCACTCCAAGGAACTCACAGATACCAGAAATCAAGTGCTGCCAATATCCTTCATCATACAAACCGGAAGCACTTGCTGTAGATACCAGGTCTAGTTTGAAATCTTACATTACACCAAGGTTAAAATGCTATGGGGGTGGGAGTGGTGCATTTTAAAGTGTTCTACAAGATGCTTCTGCACAACAACACACCGGAAGCACTGGAACTTAAGCTCCAAACACACCCTTTCTCCCCCTCCCTACTGGAAGGCCACCACGCAACAGCCGGGGGGTCACCAAACAGTAGCTGCTCAGGATGGGACTGACCCCTGCTCAGCAAAGCCTATTCCGAAAGCCCCGCAGACTCTGGGCAGCCAGTTACAACTGCCCAGCCCAGCCAGGGCAGGGGTGTGCGGGTCCGAATCCTGGGGTCCCGAGGCTTGGACGAGCAGAATGCCCGCTCCGCAGGTCTCCTCTCTCACTAGTCATTCTTTCTGGCATTCTTTCTGGGGAGAGGCAGAGAGGCCAGGAGATGTCAGGCCCGGGAGAAGGGAAGGGGAGAAGGGACCGACCGGAGGTAGTTTGGGAGGTGCCGGGGGGCGGGGGGGGGCACCAGGCCCGGGCAGAGGTGCGGCACCACATCAGGTGGGGACCGACCCCAGGTGGGTCCGAAGGGACGGAGGGAGGAAGGGAGAAGCGGCTGGGAGGCCTGGTCGCTGAGGCCGCGGGGAGCCCCGGGGGACGGGGGGAGGCGGGGGCGGCCGTGGGGGAACGGGGGAGGCGGAGATGGGGAGCCCGGTTCCCCTCCCCCAGCCCGGGCCCGGGCCTCCCGCTGACTCAGCCCCACGGCGTCGGTCGCCTGGGCCCCGACTCACAGTGCGCGAGGTGGCTCCGGCGGAGGCGGCGGGGGAGGGGACGGGCGGCGGGGGGCGCTGCGGCTGCGGCTGCGGCTCCGGCCCGAGGCTCCGGGGCGGAGGGTCCTAGCTGAGGCCGCCGCGGTCTCCGGCTTCAACGCACCGAGACTGCGGGGGGACGGGAGCACTGCGCAGGCGCGTTGCGGCCGCCGCTGTCAGTCCGAGCGGGGCGGGGCCAGGGCACCCGCCGTCTCCACGGCAACCGGGAGGCGACGGGCGGGCGACGGCTACCTCCACCTCGCCTCGGCAACTGCGGCGGCGGCGGGGAGGTGCGGGCGAGGGGAGACAGTCTCCCTAGGTCGCCATGGCAACGAGGAGTCGAAACTGCGTCGTCAGTGCGCGGCGGTACCGCGGGAACGCTCTTACCTTGTCACCATGGCAACTGGGAACAGCCCCTTCCTTCTTCCTTAGCAACAGGGTAACAATCCCTCCGTCCCGTCCCGTCACCGGAGGGATAAGCCTTCCCACCCGAGTCCGTCCGTCGTCGCGGGAAGACGCGTTCTTCTCCGCGGCCGCAATGGCAAGAGCGCAGACCATTTCCTCCCTTCGAGGGACGTGGAGAGCCGGAGCTCGGCCTGATAACCGCTCCTCGGTTTATGGCTTCAACCACGGCCTGTGATTCTACACCCCAAACGCGGTTTTCTCCACCGGTGTGCATCCCCTAGGAGGGAGCCTGCACCTTCACCCCTACATGGAGGGAACAAAGTCGTCCTAGGTAGCTTAGCACTTAGGTAAACACGTCACTTTGGCTTTTGTTATGTGTCTGTTTGGAAGCAGGGTCCTGGCTGCCTAGCCCGGGCTGGCCTTGGACGCATCCCCCGATCGCAGGTAGGCACGCCACACCAGGCGATGTCACTGGAGTTTTGTACTGTCCCTCTCCCCATATATTTGTGAGCGTTTTGCTTCTTCCTCTCTCCATTAGCTACTCATAACCAGCTCTCTCTTTTGATATGCCTGTTCTGTGTTCTGAATTTCCTGTTCCAAGTTTGCGTTTAGGGCTTCCGAGTTCTTTCTTTTCATGCGTGCTGTCCTTGTTCCCATTTCTCTTCCTGGGGGCTCCACTATGTCCAGACAGCGTCTGGCTCTCATGAATGTCTTGTGATCATCACTGTACCCATCTTTATAACACCTTTATTCCACACTTTAAGTATTAGTGTCCTTCATTTACACATCAGTCTCCTCAATCAGATTATGTGTGTCTGGTGGGCAGGAATTCTGCCTTATTCATCAGCCACGTTAGCATTGAGCACAAAACGCAACACGGTGTCCCAATAAATGTTTATGTAATTGAATCAAGCAAACACAAAGGTTTTCATTCTTTCTCACTTTCTCTAACATTACTGTGTCACACTTCAGTCAACATTTTCCTTATTGCTTATATAAGTACTGCTACTACTATTATACTGCTTCCATACTCTTAGTTCTTGATCTTAATGCCAAAACTCTATTCACCTATTGATCAAAGCTCTAGAGTTCTCTGTGGCATGAATCCTGACTTCTTGATATCCTTCTTCCTAACTAGCCCAAGTATTTCCACAGAGGTAGATTTCCTGACTTCTGTCAAACCTTTATATCATTGTATGCTCTCCATCTATTCCTGTTATATGGACTTATAACCTACCTCTGCACAAACACTTTTGCTAAATACCACTGGGTTCTGCTGGCTTGTTGGTATGCCAGAGATACTACATTCTCTTCTAGTGACTCAAAAGCATAGTCTAGCATTCTCCTCCAAATCTCCTGCTCTAGCTCCCACAGACTTCATGCTGATGTCAAAGCACCACAATGGAGTCTGTATTCTCAGGGGAAAAAGGAGAAAGCAGATTACAAATAGAATAAGAAAAGAAAGGGACAGGACACACACTGAACAAACACCCTTCCATCTAAAACAACTCTTGGAAGAAGGTGGTTAACAATAATTCCCAAGACAAATCAATACATAGGAGAATGAAACCTATAGGTCGCTGGGTGCTATAATGACACGTCAATTTATTTTACTTCCTTTCCCTTTCTGAGGTTCCTGCTCAGTTCATGTTTGCAGGCATGGAACTGGTTCAGAGGCTCAACGGCTCTGAGCAATCCTGAGAAGAGACTTTAACCTTTGTATTTCCTCACTTTTATGACACAGAAGGATGAGGATTATTCTATCATACATTCCGATATGCCCTTTACCCCAATTCTCTACCTGCTAACATTTTAAGTTATCTATTTCTACAGAAGGAATCCCTCCAGGTTAGTAGTGTAAAACAACTATTTCACATCTTCAATCTTCACATCTGTGGGATGGGCATTTAGGAGGAGCTCAGTTAGGCTGTGCTGGCTTAGGGTGCCATATCCTATTAGTTGAAAAATTTCACAAGGACCTACCAGTGTCAAGGGAAAGTACATAGACCCTCATCTCTTCAGGGAAGATGCATCAAGTCACCTAAAAGGTATGCGAATGAGAATTGTTATCAAACTCAACATTTTGGAAAATAGAATTTGCCACACCCTGCCCTCTGATCACAATTTACAACTCACTCAGCGCAAAATACACTCAGATCCTCTAAGACCCTCAAGGCTCATTCCATGACAGCCTGAAGTAGGAGACAAGACCTTGTCATCTGAATCAGGACCCCATACATATATGGCTCCTCAGGTCCAGCACCTTGAGGCAACTTCTTAGTAGCAATCCTCTGAGTTCAAGGACTTTGAAAATTCAAAGACATGTCACCTACCTCTCCTATATCGAACATACAACAGTGGTCCAGGCCTAGGATAATTGTTCTGGACATTTTCACTTCAAAAAAGGAGAGGGGGCTGGGAAGATGGCTCAGTGGTAGAGCGCTTGCCTTGCATGCATGAGGCCCTGGGTTCGATTCCTCAGCACCACATAAGAAAAAAGAAAAAAGCCAGAGGTGGCGCTGTGGCTCAAGTGGTAGAGCGCTAGCCTTGAGCTGAAGAGCTGAGGGACAGCGCCCAGACCCAGAGTTCAGGCCCCATGACCAGACCCAAAAAAAAAAAAAAAAAAAAGGAGAGAAATAGGGGCTGGGAAGGTGGCTCAGTGGTAGAATGCTTACCTTGTATGCATGAAGCCCGGGTTCAATTCCTCAGCACCACATAAGCAGAAAAAGCCACAAGTGGTGCTGTGGTTGAAGTGGTAGAGTGCTAGCCTTGAGCTGAAGAGCTGAGGGACAGTGCCCAGGCCCAGAGTTTAGGCCCCACGACCGGACCTCCCAAAAAAAATTTGTTATGTTAACCATTGGAGAGCCTACGGTTCAGTGGTATTAAACAGAGTCATCCTGTTGTGCATTCATCACCCCCATACATTTCCAGGATTCTTTTCATCTTATATAACTGAAACTCTGTCTCCATGAAACAATAATTTCCCATTCCCTGCTCTTTAGATGCTGGCAAATACCACTCTACCTGATTTTTACCACTTTAAGTATCTCATATATACAGTTACAACTGTGACTGGCTTATTTCATCCATGTTATAGCATATATTAGAATTTCCTTCCTTAAGGCTGAATAATGTTCCACTGTGTTTGTACCACATTTCCCTTCTCCATTCATTCATCAGGGGTCTTTGAGGTGCTTCTACTGCTATCTGCTATATACTGCTATGTACCTAGGGATGCAAACATCTCTCTTTGATAGCTTTGAATTCTTTAGGGGTATATAATCAGAAGTGAAATTGCTAGGTCATATGGTAATTCTATTGTGTGTGTGTGTGTGTGTGTGTGTGTGTGTGTGTGTGTGTGTGTAAAAGAGAAGAATACTGGGGGCAGGGGGTGGTGGTGGGAGATAGGAAGGGATGGGAAGGGGAAACAAAGGAAGAGGGAACAATGCTTGATAAGAAATGTACTCATTATCTTGCCCATGTAATTGTAACCCCTCTATATGGCATTTTCACAATAAAAATAAAAATAAAAGAGAATACTGGGTCTTGGACTTAGGATCTCACCCTCTCACTTGACTTTTTAGCTCACTGGTGCTATACCTCTTGAGCCATGCCTTCAGGCCTACATTGTACTGCTTGTTTTGGAGACAGGATCATGAGGACTTTTCTGCCTGCTCTGGCTTCAGACCGTAATTCCCCAGGTTTCATCCTATAGCTAGGATCACAGGTGTGAGCCACCAGCACCCAGGTTGATAATTGTCTTTTGATGTATTTATTTTAAAAAAATCATGAAGTACAACTTGTCAATCTTGTTTTTCTTCTGTGGCCTGTGTCTGTGGTATCATATTCCTGATATATATATATATATATTTTTTTTTTTTGGGGGGGGGGTCCGGTCGTGGGGCCTGAAGTCTGGGCCTGGGTGCTGTCCCTCAACTCTTCAGCTCAAGGCGAGCACTCTACCACTTGAGCCATGCCTCCTTTTCTATTGTAGTTATTTTTGACATAGGGTCTCACTTTTTGCTCTGGTTGACCTAGACCACACTCTCCTTTTCGTGCTTTCCATTTAGCTAGAATGACATACATCCACTATGGCACTCAGATTTTTTTAAATTGAGATAGGGTCTTCCAAACTTTGTGCATGTGTGCCAGTACCACTGCTTGAACTCAGGAATTTGCATTTTTTTTGGGTCTGTCATGGGGCTTGAACTCTAGGCTGGGGCACTATCCCTCAGCTTTTCAGCTCAAGGCAAGCACTCTACCACTTGAGCCACAGGGCCACTTCCAGATTTCTGAGTGGTCTATTGGAGATAAAAGTTTCATGGACTTTTCTGCCTGTATTGGCTTTGAACTACGATCCTCAGATTTCAGCGTCCTGAGTAGCTAGGCATGAGCCACCGACGCCTGGCTAGGACTTTGCATTCTTGCTGGGCTTGTTTGCTCACAGCTGGCACTCTATCACATCAACCATGGCTTCAGTTGGCATTTTTTGCTGGTTAATAGGAGAGGGAGTCTTGTGGACTTTTCTGCCTGGGCTGGCTTCTGACTGCAATCCTCTAGGTTTCAGCCTCCTGTGTAACTAGGATTACAGGCATGAGCCACCAGCATCTGACTTCAACCACTTGATTTTAAAGATAAGATATTTGAGAAGAGCTGGGCCTGAAGCCAGAATGCTCTCAGCCCTCTTGCCTACTGCCTTTGGGATACTCCAAGAAACAGGCTTTTCAGATAAAAGT